GGGGGAAAATGGGAAAAAAGGGAATTTTCGAATTCCTCGAATTGTGCGTTTGTTTGTTTTCTTATTCATTTAGGTCCTAGTTTAACCCGTTATCCCCGAAACGTCAAGGACCAGTTTTCACAGCCAAGATCCTATCTCTGATAAGCCCAACTTGATCCCAGCGCATGAACCACTAAACAATAAATAGATAGCTTAAAATTCGCAACGTTACATAAATTCAACTTTTGAAACCAAACTACTACCCACAAAACTATCCAGCCCTGCAGATTTCCCAATTTCTGGTCAGAAAACAAATCCTCTTGCCTTGTATTCCTTCCTGTCATATCATCTGTATGACTGATTTATATGGTTCTCGATGAGATCAGAGGACGAATCAGTAGATGGCAACCCAAAACGGCAGGTTTCCTTAACAAAGATTTTGAAATCTTCGGGACACTTTGGCCCGAGAAGCTTTTGGATTTATTTATTTATTTTATTTATAATATTTAACGTCGTGCCCGCGCACAGCACGTGAGTTCCTCACGTACCGGTTAACCCAGTCTAAATGAAACTACCCGACGCGTTGGCGCCCACTCAGACCCACCAAAGCAAACTATAGCTAGGATCTTATCATCCTACGCTCGAGGATTATAGCGTACATGAAGGTCGTCCGTCCAACAAATCTCATGCTATGCAGTTGGTACTAAATCAAGAAAAGATTTTACAAACCAAAATAAAAAATAATAGGAGAAGATTGTTTACATCAGATCGTGATTTCGTTCGAATCATACTGTTCGTTGTGCCCTTTCGAAGAAATCTGTGACAAGCACCCAATTATTGAATGCATCAACTCCCTCCGCCGAAGTAAGAGCCCAGGATACGCTGGGATTAGAGTTCTGTGCCCTGTGGAGCTGAGCTTGGTATTGCCCGAGGTGGCAATAGAAAAAGTGGTTAGGGGACTTCTCTTCTCCGCATGTGCAGGTTAGAATGGCGTTTTCATGCTGAAACCGTCGGTGGTAGTCCGCGAAGTCGCCATGACCGGACCGTGAAGCTAGTAGATATCCTAGTGCGCGTCGCCCCAGACGGGCGAGCTCAACGGTGATTTTCGTATTAGGGCCAATTCCTAGTTCTTTGTATTTAGAAGGGGCATTTTCTGCCCAATATAGTGCGACTGGAGCCTCGTATTGGGCTTTGATTTCTCTCCTTGCCCTCGCAATGGAGAGTTCTAAGTGTGGAGCTGGAGCTGCACAGGCGGCTTTGGCAAGCGCGTCGGCTGCTTCGTTCCCGGGAATACCTGCGTGGCCTGGGCACCATCGGATAGCCACTTCCCTAGGCGTCGTATTTTGACCGCGTGATCTTCTTTTCCAGTTCATTGCGAGCTTGCGAAAGATTAATCTTTTTGCCGAGCTGGACGCTGTGGGCGTATCCAAGAGCAGACGGATGGCAGCCTCCTGATTGTCAAGTCAGACAGTGACGTTAGAGGCACAATAGGCCAGTGGGTTCCGAAGAGCTGCGGCAAGACCTTCAGTGGCCCCGGCAATTTCTGCATCATACACTTCTGCCGAGTTTCCAAGCGGGAGTGATCCTCGCCCAATCTCCTGCGTAAGGACTCGATAGACGACATAGTCTGCACCTCCTCGGTCTTCTAATAGAGCTCCGTCTGAGAATACGAACAAGTCTAGGGTAGCTCGTGTAGCATGCCACTGTTTGAAGGGATTTGGTCCCAGGAGTCTACCTACTGCACCAATTTCGATGAGCTTTTCTTCACGGGATGACGATCACGGTAGAGGCATGATGTCCTCGGAAAGTTCTGGCGAGATTATTTGGCGGATCCAGCGCATGCGGCTAGTGTTCCAACGCCTACGAAGAGGGTGATAGGGGTCAGCTGCAGCAATTCGAACCGCTAGACGGCTGTGAATTCTGTTAAACCACGTCTGAGCTGGGCCCCAGCCAGATATCTTTTCCATTTGGAGACTGTAAGGATTCTTGAGAAATCCCTCAGGCAGGATTTATGGGTTCCTTATTTAATCCCACTAGTCTTTATTGCTTAGCGAGGGCACCTATGTAGTTTCCATTTCCGAGTCTGATATCTTCACGCTTTGTTTTCTGTCTTTAGGAATAGTTACATTATTCTAATCACATCTCACTCTTGTCCTCTGCCAAACATAGTGACCTACTGTCACCTCCGGCCCCTCTATCTAGAACGACTCCCCGCTTTCCCTTTTACCACTTCTCTAGAAAGCCCTCCGCGTTACCACGAGGCGTCCTTCCTCAGTACATCCTACGCTACGCCCTCTCCTACGCCTCGAGTCCTGCGCCTAGTGAACCTGCGCCTGACAGAGACCATTTCGAGTCCGTACTCGTATGAGACCACGACGTGCCTTTTATTTTTTCTTGTGGAAGATCTTGGCTCCCAATTTACTAACACTTGCACTCTGTGGACAAATAGCATATAAACCCCGCGAGAGAAGGCCAGAGACTGTGACAACCAGAGCTGTGGTCATTGAAATTAACATAAAATAGATAATAATTGTACAATCAATAGGGCTTCAGCCTGCGCTAATCGTGTTGGAAGAGCAAAATTGATGCTGTAACTAGCCGTAAAACGATGCATATTGGACCAAATTGCTCCGTATTTCAAATTTCAACTAAACTTGGCTCTAAAATAGAAATAGAACTCCACATATATGTGAGACACTGCTGTCAAGTTTTTATTATATTTACTGTTTGAAAAGCCTTGCAGTGATTATCCTTGCATGAGCAAACTCGAAACTCCTCCGAGGGAATTTGGGAACAACTGATTGCCAGAGGTTGGATGTTGCAGTGGTACATCATTCGGGCCGTTTTCCCAAGTAGATTCCGGATAGCTTGAACACCTACCCCATTTGAGACAGGAGAAAGCTGGATCGAATCCAGTAAAACCCACAAACCACACTTTCTCGCATTGAAAGTGTATTTGTGGGATGATGAAAGCACACTCGGATAACCATAGCTTTTTCACGCTTTTCCCTGCGGTGGGTGTGCACGGAAGAGGTTATAAGCGTCACGGGCTAATTTCGAGTGGTATCTGCTAATTAAATCTGAGTGTGAATGTTCTAAACGTCAAGTTGAGTATCCTAATTAACTTATATATCTTCCAATGAAACCTGCATGGGCCTCAAGGCGCCAAATAATGACATCTTGTAATCGTTATTGGCTCAATCTAATATTGTAACTAGATCATTAAGGCCCCCTACTCCAAGTACAAACAGGAAAAGCGCCATCCCTAGGTATGTACGCGCTCGGATAATGTGAAATACCTGCATAACTCCCAGACCCAAACCCCTGACTCCGTAATCCTCATGTATCACATGACTGTATAATTAGAGCTGACTATGCTCAGATACGCATCTGCTCACACAGCTGAATACTTTAACAGTCAACAAGTAGGTTGACGCAGTCAACTGGGGGTGCAACATTCAAGAAGTCAAACCTTTTGTACAGCACAATAGTGAGACTAGCCGATGCAAAAAAAAAGGCGAGGCTAGCCCTGACTTATGGGTGTTCTATATGGGCTGTATTGTCATAGCTCTATAGCTGAATACAATATGAATTAAAAAAAAAAGGGCTGCAGACGGGCCAAGGGGTAAAATACCAGAAAGGATAGTCAAACCATTGCGAAGTATCAACGAAAATGCTTGAAGCTTATTACAGGGTCATATTGTCGGAACGTTAGCTTTGTAGTTATATTTATTGGGATAGGTTACTGGCGTTAGGAACTAGAAAAATTGCCACTTGGTTTTTTGTTGTATGATTAGTCATCATATCCCTAGACAAGTTGTTTGTAAAACTAGATATAGAGGAGAGAGAGATAGACAGATACAATTAACGCCAACGATCAAGTCCACTACTACAGTAGAGAAGTGATCACTCCTATTTTTACCAACACATATAACTCTACCAGTAGAAGGGTCCTAGAACACGAGTCTTCGGTTCTCCCGATAGATATCTACCTGAAGCAAAGGAGGGTCCAACACGTCGGGATATCAGAAGAACTACCTGTTAGGAGATCGATACTATCTGCGTACAGCAAAGTCAAGCAGACCACAAGGGAAACCGAGAACAGGCACGCCAAGAATCGAAAGCAAGACATTGAAGAATGGACCATAATTTGCGGCCTGTAAAATGCGAAAGAGAGACAAAAAGAAGCCTGTAAGATGGCCGCGTTCCAGGAGTAGAAAAACTCATGGACACGTCCAAGGAACGAGATACTATCTGGTCATCGAGCTTCGGCAGACCCTGAACATTGGAAAGCCGCAAATATTATTACAGATGAGACAACAGGCAGAAAAAGGATTACATATAGAAACACGCACTCAAATATCCACAGGAAACTTAGTAGGGCCCAAAGCAGTATTGCAGTTCAGATAAGTGAGCACATTGGTCTCAATTCTTATTTGTATCGAAGGAAAGTCCCCGGAGTGAATAGTCCAAAATGTTAGTGTGGATATCCGTCTCAAAATGTCAAACATATGGTCTTCGCGTGTCCTCAGTGGGCAATGGGAAGAGGAGAGGTGCTTCGAAAGAGAAAAGATAGGTCATTTGCGGCAATGATGATCAGCCCAGATGATATAGAGAGAATTACAAAATGGATCCTGGCAAAAGACTAGTTTGAACAATTCCAGCTTGCAGGAGAGGTAGAAACAGCGTTAGACGAAAAGATGAGATGATGTGGACAAGGATAAGACGGAATTCACACTATATAAACAGTGTAAACGCATTTCCTGTAGGAAACCTCAGAAAACAAATAGACACGAGACAGATAGTTATGGGGGTTTTTTACCGAATTTGGTTTCCTCCTGTGTAAATATTATAGCTAGATATTCCTGCATAGGCCCATAGGGTACCTGAACGGGCTAAATGAATTCAATACAACTGAATAATTTATTTATTTATAATCTGATCGCCCGGGTCACATGATGTTTAGAGAAACTGACCATCTGGCGAGGCTGAGAGTCTCCAACAATTCCGCCGTGATGCACCAGATCATTTCAATAAATGACCAAACAAGAAAGGACCACCGTCACCAATTGTCTATACGAACATATTCCCTCTCATCACTCCAAACTTTGTTTTCGGAATCAACTAACACAGGCATCAAATTTTCGGACCATTATATATATCGCTTCCCCATAACTTCTTCCAATTCTCGGAACCCAAGACGTAGTTTGCATCGTCTATCTAAAGCCCTCGTGCAATATTTCGTAGAAAAATCATTCATTGACATGATTTCAGGACGTGGCAGAGGCAAGATAAGGCCTCCACGAAGAGTAGGTTTTCGAGGTCATATCCTTCAATTCTGTTTAAAAAAACCGCTGCTAGCCCTTGGAACCTCCAAACATGGTTTATTGTGAGTTGTGAGATAATAATTTTATAAAAACACTTGAGCAATCTTTCCAAAATTTAAACATTGGTCTCCACAAACGTCGATTCTCTTAATTACATCTTTGCTTTACACATATCAAGCTAACATGTGCACGCGATAGAATCCTATAGGAGGAGACGAGTCTGGAGACTTTGATACGCAATGGGAAATTCTTAAGTCCGCATTACGTGAAATTCATCACCAGAATGCCTCAACTCTATCATTCGAACAAATCTATCGAGCCTCGTACAAGCTAGTTCTCAAAAAGCAAGGTGGTCGACTTTACGACCAGGTTCAGAACTTCAAAATAGAATGGCTCCGGGATGTCGTCATGCCACCAATTCGCGAGCTGATGACTAAATGCTCATTTAACGTTGCGTTAAACGGCATTTCAGGTGTTACTGTAAATGAGAGAAGGCTTGCTGGTGATAGGTTCCTTAAATGTTTGAAGTCATCTTGGGAAGATCACCATACTAGGATGAAGATGATTGCGGATATGCTTATATATATGGACAGAGTTTACTGTGTAGACAACGGGAAACCTCACATATTCATTTCTTCGATTGGTTTATTTCGAGACCATATATTGAGATCATCACTTGCGATAAACGGACAAAACCTCACCACCTTCGACGTATTGAATTCTGTTCTTCTAGACCAAATCAGCATGGAAAGAGACGGTGATATAATTAACAAGACACTCATTCGATCTTGTATTGAAATGCTAGAGAGCTTATACGAGGAAAATGAAGAGGTCGAAGATAAAAAACTATACTTAACTGGTTTCGAGGAAGCCTTCTTGAGCGATACGCGACGGTTTTATCAGAAAGAGTGTGAAAAGCTCCTTCGTAATTCTGACACTAGCGTATGGCTACGTGAGACTGCGAGAAGATTAGAAGAGGAAAAGAATCGTTGCCAAACAACGATATCCATCTTAACTCAGCCGAGAGTGATCAAGGTCGTCGAGACAGAAATGATAAGTGCTCGTTTGATGGAATTTATTGCCATGGAAGGAAGTGGATTGAAAGCGATGATTGAGAATGATCGACTGAAGGAATTGAAGACACTTTATGACTTGGTATCACGAGCAGATTGCTCCAAAACTGCATTGAGGGATGCCCTCCAAAGTAGGGTGGTTGAACTTGGATCAGAAATTAACAAAGTTGCTTTCGACATACCTGACGTGGTAATCCCAGATGAGAGTAATGAAGCTGTAAACAAATTAGATAGGACAAAGGCTTCCTCGAAGCATTTCATGGCAAATAAACAAACAGTCACCGCAATTCGATGGGTTGACCAGGTACTAAAATTAAAAGATAAGTTCGACAAAATTTGGGCCGAATGCTTTGATCAAGATCTTATCGTTCAAACTGCTTTATCAAATAGTTTTTCTCACTTCATCAACTTGTTTCCCAGATGCTCAGAATATTTATCTTTGTTAATTGATGACAACTTAAAAAGTGGAGTAAAGGGAAAAACCGAGACGGAAATTGACAGTATTCTAGATAAAGCGGTAATACTGCTTCGATATATTCAAGACAAAGACATTTTTGAGCGGTATTACAAGAAACATCTTGCTCGAAGGCTTCTACATAAGAAGTCTGAGAGCGGTGATATCGAAAAACAGATGATATCGAGAATGAAGCAAGAGATTGGAAATACATTTACATCTAAGCTCGAGGGGATGTTCAGGGATATGACATTGTCAGATGAACTATCATCAGGATACCGCTCATATACTGAAAATAACAAAGGTTCGAAGAAAAGTAAAGTTGACCTTGGAATTATTGTATTGACAACGAACTTTTGGCCGGTAGAATCTATGGGCGGTGGAGGCACAAGTCGTGAAAATGGTGTTTTTTCATCATGCATATGGCCCAAGGAGATTCTCGAAATACAAGAATCTTTTAAGGCTTACTATCTCAAGGAACGGAATGGTAGGCGTTTGACATGGCTAGGATTTCTAGGCAGCGCAGATATTCGCTGTTATTTTCCCCCGATTCCAGGAAAAGAAGGATCTCTCAGCCGCGAGCGGCGCTACGAGCTCGTTGTATCTACGTACGGTATGCTCGTACTGCTACTTTTCAATCGCATTTCCGTTGATGAAACTTTATCATTTGAGGAAATTCAAGAGCACACCAAGATTCCAGTATTGAATCTTTCTCGTATTTTATACACACTTTCTGCTCTTCCAAAATGCAGAGTCCTGAACAAAATTCCTAATAGTAAAGATTTGCCAAAACTAGGCGATCTTTTTTCATTGAACTCTAGCTTTTCCAGTAAATCAGTCAAGATAAAAGTACCTGTTATGGTTGGCGGGGGTGTTAACAAGATTGAAGGTGATGATGAACGTAAAGAGACTGAAGGTCGAAATGATGAACATCGAGGAAATGTTATTGATACTGTCATAGTTCGCATAATGAAGTTCGTCATCCATCTCATGATCGAACTTTGCTAATACAAAAATAGGTCCCGAAAAAAATTGGCACATCAAGCCCTTGTCACTGAAGTCATTGGCCAGCTTTCTTCACGCTTCAAACCTGATATCTCTTTAATGAAGAGAAGAATTGAATCACTCATTGAGAGAGAGTATTTAGAGCGAGTAGAAAATTCGCCCGTGCCAACATACTCGTACATGGCTTAATACTGAACTACACGATACAAATCCTGAGTATATCGTTTGCTTGCATGGAGTTGCGGATAAATGGGCTCGATAGGTTTAGACAAAAATGCAGGCGCTATAAGGAATCTATAGAGTATGAATGAGTGAAGATCCATCAAGTAGTATTATAAAGATTATGTTATTTAGAAATATTTTCTTGATAGAAGTTCATGATATTCTTCATATCTTTACCCAGCTACGATGATTGTATGGTAAAAAACTAATTACGTCTAAAGAAATGGAGGATATGTTATTTTTTTTTTTAATATTAAAGTCCTAAGCTAAAGCTCTAGGTCCACTATAGGTACAAAACTGGTGGAGCCGGCGAGGATCACTGCTAACAGGCCCAACTCTTTCCAACCGCGAGACCTGCTACAGAAAAAGTAGGAGGTAAATTATAACTCAGAAGACTCCACCTACTCCGACTCCGAAATCGAGACTCCATCCTCCAACCCTAAATTCAAGTACATGAAAGATTTCCTCAGAGAAACGACACTTCTCGCATCGATCCCTTTCGTGTCATGCGTTGTGGCAATGACTAGTTTATCTGATCCCCACTGAGAGCAGTGGATAAGTGAGCAGGTCGTCTATCAAAACAGCCGGTTTCCTGCGCAAAATTTTTGAAGCTATCGTGGCACTTGGGCCCGAGAAGCTTTTTGATAAAGTCAGCGTGGGACATTGACTTTCTGAGCCTACGCGTTTGTTGTGCGTGTCGGCTACAGTGGATGAAGTGGGTTGGAGTAGTTTTCTTCCCGCAAGAGCACTCCATAGGAGCGTGTGGATTATTAAAACGGCGATGGTATGCCGCAAAATTGCCGTGACCTGTTCGTGCTGCGATTAGTGCCCGGAGGAGGTGCCTAGAGAGAGACAGTTCAGGTGGTTTGCGTCTCCGCACCTGTAGGTCGAGTTGGCCGTATTGAGGCGGACAGGCTACTCCCCACCAGTCGTCTAGCAGCCTCTGTCGTCTGCGATTCATGAGAACACGTAGATATGCCAGAGTACATGATCCTGGTGGTGTCTCCTGGCTAGGTAACTCTCGAAGTGCGGCACGGGCAATGGTGTCTGCCTCCTCGTTCCCTTGAATCCCTGCGTGCCCTGGCACCCATTTTACCAATACTTTTGCCACGTTACTTAATGCACGGAATCTGCGTACATATTCTAGGCTAGTTGAGGACGAGCCTGTCGTTAGTGCGCTTACAGCCTGCTGGCTGTCTAGAAACACGTAGATTTGCTGCGTCACTCCTATTTTCCTGCACTGCTCTTCCTCCGTAAATTCCAGTGCAGCCATGGAGAATATATGTGTGTTTTTATTGTACTTCTTGAGTCTATGACTATCTAGCACATTGGGCTCCTCTCTGACCCAAGCCACACCTTGTACAGTGCTCCTATCTTCTCTTGTTACTTGAAAGATCATTGATATATTCCCCTTGGTGAATAGCCATTCAGCTCAATATTTACCCGTGGAATTCAGCCACCTTTTCCACGGAACCTTCTACCCAAAAAAAAAATTAAAAAATGGTAGCAATGGAAACTGCGTGCGCGGGAAAAAGTCTCAAAAATCCTGCAGCCCCAGCCAGGCGAGGCCTAGACACCGGGACCATATGAGGTGCGCATATTCATCTATATCTCCCTTCTTTGTAACAGTCGAGGTTGAATTGATCCAATCCACCATCTCCGTATCGGGTGCTGGGTACGCTCCGGAAACTCATCGGAAGGCTTTTCCTCCATGATCAAGGGTGGGTGACGAGTAGGGCTCCGACCCTACCATCTGATCTGATCGTGGTTAGCTTCATGATAGTGGTGATAGGGGAATGTGTTGAGAGATGAAGACGATACAGACCACGAAAGCGAATGAGAATCCCCATTGAAGTATGGACTTTGTTACTCAATCTCGGTTCTGCAGACTCTACAATGAGAGCTGGAGGTTCTTTTTTTTAATTCATAGTGTATTCAGCTATCTAGCTATGACACATCTGATTATTTTATATCTAAATACAAGTATTCAATCGCCATTTCCTCTACTTATCTTCTAGCCTCCTCCCTTTCAGTTAGCTTGGGATGCATTCATGTATCCACTGCTTTGAAGGAAGTGGAGAGTTGCCTCTTTTCCAATTTTGGTATTAAACAGTATTTCTAACCTCAATGTCAATATGACTTTAAAAGCTTCCTTTCTTTCCTCCTTAAACTTACTACAATAAAGAAGCAGGTGTTGAACAGTCTGTTTTCCCTTCCTACAAAAGTTGCAAGAGTTATCCCTTACTTTTTTAATTCGAAATAAATGGGCCCTGGTATTTCCAATCCCTGTTCTCGCTTGTATAAATGAAGATTGTGTCATTCTACTGTAATGACTGAAGTTGTATGGTCTCATTTTGATGATAGGTGATCTTTTCCTGGCTTGCACTTGATAGAGCCTTCCAAGTCCTTTGATCCTTCTACCCTCTTCCTGTCTCAAGAATTGGGTCTCCCAGTCATTTTGCCAGGCTTTGAGGGCCATTTCCCTCACCAACTGCTTAAGGTAAGCAAAATTTGTGAATTTGTCCCTTTTTGCCGTTTTTCTTGGCACCACCTCTTGCCATATTGTCTGCTAGCTCATTCCCAGCAATACCTTCATGGCCTGGACACCAGTGTAGATGAATTTGATATTTATTGGTTTTTATTCTTATTTGATGTAAAATAAAGTTGCTAGCATTGCTGACCCTCTGAATTGCTGCTTGGCTATCAGAGAAGACCCAGATCTCTCTGATATGTTTATTGGATATGACATATTTTATAGCTTTCAAGATACAATATGTCTCACTATCTGATATTGTCATAGTGTGTCCAAGATTTTAAGGGAAATATTTTACCTGTCTTGTGAATGGTAATTAGACCACAAATCCAAGGCTACTTCCATTGCTTTTTATTAGGGAACCATCTGTGTATACAATTGATGCATGATTTGGGATGTCTTTTAGCAGAAGAATATGCTCATCCATTGCTGCATGCTTAGAAGAATTACTTATTTTAGTATCCACATGATTTGCTAGCCATGGTGGTGCCCATTCTGCATTGATTATTTCTAATATATTGCAATCTGAGAGTCCTTTGAGCAGGTGTCCAATCTTCATGAGCTGGGTATTATTTTCTTGGAGGTCATCAATCATGTCAAGGCTGATGGCAGTACCTATGGAGAGCTCATCTTGAACTGAGCTAAGTAGCTGCATTTGTATTGGATGCAAGGACTGCATCTTTAGTATCCTGAGGGCATAGTTGTAGGCTAGTCTTGGATATCGCATCTTCACAGGTGTAAGGGTGGCCTCTACTTCTAACGCTTTTGAGGGGCTGCTAGAATAAGCTCCTGTGACAAGGACTACTGTTCGGTTCTGTTGTTTCTGACATTTTTCGATAAGATGAAGAGATCGGCTCTTCCCATACCATAGAATAGAGCCATAATCTAGCACTAGTGTTTCACAGGCAATATAAAGCTGTCGAAGTTGATTGAATTTGATTCCTTTAGTTGAAGAAGCAAGATTCTTGAGCCTAAGAAGAGCTCCATTCGCGAGCTGCATTCTCTTGTTAATATGGGTTTTGAATGATAACTTGCAATCAAACCATATTCCTAACCATCTGACAACGCTTTTAGGGCGAAATTGGATTCCTTGAATTGTTATTGGAGTTTTAATTGACACTCTCTTCCGATGGAAATGAATTAGCTCGGTTTTTTCGACTTCAAAGGTAACAGAGAGTTCCTGTGATCCTGTAGCCAGAGTTTCAATTGTAGTTTGCAAGGCATGGATATTCTTATCAACCGAAGAAGATGCAGTAGATATAGAGATATCATCAATGTAAGAGATGTAGAGAATCTTTTGATTCTGCTCAGGAGGGAGCAGGTACCGGATGGAAAGAAGAAAAAGCATTAGAGAAATTGAGCTGGAGGTTCGTAGGGGACACCACTGACAGGTGTTGGGAATAGTCCCCCGAAAAGGAGGATATGTTTTTTAATGATAACAATAACCTCAAATGAAGAACAAACGATGCTGAGCTGATGCCCCACATTTATCAAGACTTGACTTGGACGTTTGCTACTCCCATGGCCAGATTTACTTTACGAGAAATATGAAAATGAACAGAAACGTAGTTTAGGAATCTTGATGTTACATTGAAACATGGCAAGATACCTTATCATCTGTCGGGCTTGCTCGAGTTTAATAGGTTATCATAGACTAGCTTGGATCGATTCTCTTTCCAGTTTCATAGACCAAAGCGCTGAGATATTTCTAAATTTATTGCAATAATTGGCCTAACCTATCATCACGTATTTCTATCCGTTCTGGGACCTAGATATTAGTTGACATGACCAATCAAGTCATTCGTTGATTGAGGCCTCCTTTTTTTTTATATTCCTAAAGTCCTAAGCTATGCTCAATATCTCCTGGGAGTCAAGGACCGTTGAGGCCTCCTTATGGCTGTGCAGGGGATTTGTCTGACTTGGCAAGATGGTGCAGTTGTATATTCCTTAGTCACACTTGAATAACTGATCAGATATGCTTGAACTTCTCTTCCATTGGAGGCAGGAGATGGCTGGTTTGGATGTGGCGAGACCCAACACTTCATGGAGCTGATGTGCATGAATGACGAAAGCATGCTTGGACAATCAAAGGGTTTGAATTTCACTTTGGTGGGTGCTTACGGAGGAGGGTCGACTGTTTGCGTAAGCAAGCACACCTCATAGTGGTATTTACGAATGAAACCCAAAGTATGAGTGTGCCCAGCGTTAAAAGAAGCATCAAATGTGTATAAATAGCGCCGACTATGTGTCGTAGCTGAATACACATTTTATTGATTAAAAAAAAATAAAAAATTAGATGACCAAAAGGGATTTACAGGAGATAAATCTGCGTAAGCGATTTTCCCGCGCACGCAGTTTCCATTGCTACCATTTTTATTTTTTTGGGTAGAAGGTTCCGTGGAAAAGGTGGCTGAATTCCACGCGTAAATATTGAGCTGAATGGCTATTCATCAAGGGGAATATATCAATGATCTTTCAAGTAACAAAAGAGGATAGGAGCACTGTACAAGGTGTGGCTTGGGTCAGAGAGGAGCCCAATGTGCTAGATAGTCATAGACTCAAGTAGCGCAATAAACACAAACACACACTCTGCGTAAGCGCTACTTCCATGAATAAGCCACACAATTCTGATAATTTAACAAACATGTGAGTTTCGGATACACACACATCACGTTGAAAGCTTCAAATTGTCGAAGAAAGCCTGTTTCCTCAAACCTTTGAATTCTCAGTTTAATCTACTGGGTTGAAACCAATCAAATACTATCTCATGTCCTCCTCCTCCGACGAACCCTCATAATTTCAAATTTTGCCTTCTTAGCTCTCCCACATGGTAGCATTCAGCCGCTATGCTTTTTCGGGAAACAGTTTCCGGAAAAAGTCATCGACGAAGTTGTCCACGCCATCATACGTGAAAAATTCGGGGGTCTGCGTTAGCTTAGGCAGCGTTAGAGCCTTGATTTGTTTGCCCAGGAGTCGTTCTTTGTTCGAAGTTGAGCGGTGTAAACGCTGAAGGCTGGTGGAGCCTTCGCTATGAGTGGCAGAATTGTGGTAGTCGTCAAGAAGCTTCTTGACCGACGCAAAGGGGCCGGGATTGTACCAGGCGATCTTATGGATCAAGCCTCCAAGAGTTTCCTGTGGCAAGATATCGGACAAGGGGAGCCACGACACTTGAGACTGCTTTCCATAGAACACCTTTAGTTCTTGTCCCACCCATGCCAGTGATACTTTATAATCAGCGACTGTTCTTGATAGAATTATCTGACCTCTATCGCCATTCGGATTTATTGCTTGATGACCCGCAGATTGACCTACAAATAAGCTTTAGTTGGGCGGGATAATTTAGGAATTCTTCTCACATGCAATCATTCCATCCGACACACAGCGTCCACTAGACTTCCCGTAGTTTCCGCCTGACCCCTTGAAATCCTCAAATTTGCCTTTGAGACCATGACTAATCTCTCTCACTATTTCTTCGCCACTCGCACTTTCCGAACAATATGTTGCAACATACGTGCCGTCATCATTATAAACGGTATTGGTCCTAAATATGTTTGTGCCATCACCAGGTGCGGGAAATTTTTTGACGTGGTCGATTTCATAGACATTAAAGTAAGAATTTTGGTCGTAGTTGTTGACCAAGGCTAAAAGATTACTATTTTTCAATCCGCCTGTCGTGAGCAGAAGAAACGCGAGGGTGCAATGCATTGTGGCTAAGGTCTGAATTGTCTAGTATATAGATTCGGTTTGTTATTGCAAGCTAATGATCAAATGTCGATTGATTGAACAGAAGTACTAATCTGCGAGTCTTTGGAAATCAAGCTGGAATTTCCTAGGGAGTATCTAGAAGATACAATATGGTATTCCTACCAAGTACAGAAAGAGTTAAAAAGGTGGGGGAATAGAATGGATGAAGAGAGAGTTACATTTTCCAGCGTCTTGACTTTTATATTTTATTTATTTACTCAAGTTAATCTATTTACACCCTTCGACAAGTGTGGAGTGCATGAATTACTCTAGGACGAAGATTAGAGAAACCCAAGGGGAACTCTAATTCAAATCTTATTTAGAAAGAGCCGGGTTTTCACCTCCAAATAGAAGCAGGAGGAGATGGCCAAGAAATGAAACTCAAAATGAAATAAATTTGGCACATATCGTGACGACCTTATTTCCACGTAAATCCACTTTGTTCAGATCCTATGGTGCCAAATATCATCCCAACAAGCTTGTATTCATGCTAAGTGACATGGTAAAAAGTTGTGACTGTTAATGATAGCCCAACTCGATCCTGAGATTGCCTAGGGTTTACGTCTATCTCATACGATACTAGATATACAAAGCTTCAATCCCAAGGGTCATTAGGAATGAATCATACTCCTCCTACAGCCTTGCATGTCGGAGAGCAACATAAGGGCGAGTTGATCTATCTCACTAGGATAAGAAAGTGACCCCAGGAAAGTGGTGCCAGCAGATGAACGAGGACAAACAGCTGGTCACTTCTCGTATATCCTCGAAAAATATATTCAAGGGGTGATCAATGGTTCAAATGATTGCAAATATAACTTTCGTTCTCCATCGGCCTATCATGCGAGGTAAAGGTGGTTCCGGTGATAAAGTGTTCAGATTTTCGTAATACGATACTCAATTCCGTGCATACGAATTTGACTGAATCCTATCTAGATGTCATTTAATGCCTTGGATTTTCAAGCACACCGAGTCATAATGTGATCGGTCTCTGAGTTTTAGAGTTACGCTTGGCAGAAAGATTGAGTGGGATAGCTCTCCAAGCCGGAAAAAGCTGAATTGTCATGTCCGACGAATTGGTGAAATGAACACCAAAGCGTAAGAGGGTGGCAGAGGTGACAAGTTCGAATTTTAAAATAAACGACGATAATTTGTTGATTAGATAAGTGATTTTGAAAAAGGTCGACCGGCATACCGGTACTTGTTTGACATTGAGGGCCAGGAAGTGAAGGACTTGCTTTAATTTACCGAGCATAGTCTGGATATTACGACTATTGCCGTTTCTCGGTCCAGTACAATATGGGACATATAGCTCCCTCGAACAAACTTCGGAAAGAGATGCCTCGAGCAGTACGCCCGCTCCTTTGCTTCACTCCAGCTCCTTCCTAACGCAGTCACCACCCACAAGCCTGAAACGCAATCCTACTAAATTTATAAATCATTGACATGGCTCTAATCGAAATAATCCTAGCCACTGCAGACCCATGCAATTTCGGCTACGCTAAATGGATCCTATAAATAGTGGCACGAATATTGAGTTAAGCGTTAGTGCCTGATGCTGTCCAGCCACGAGGCAGTAAATTTTCTTACTTGGCGGTACTTTTTACAGCGCTTTACGATTCTGCCGCAACCAAATTGACTGTGTGTGTGTGGATTCATTGTGCTATTCGAGTCTGTGACTAATATCACACTGGGTTGTTGTTAGTGTCTACGGGGTACATCTAGAACTACAATCGGGGCATGACTGTCAATATCCATCAGAACATATGGAAAAATATTGAACACATAAACTACCTTTAATATAAAGAATCTAGGATAGCTTTCACAGCCCTTCATTGTCTTAGATTCAGTAGGAATTTCATTTATATCCTATTCTATCCTATCTAGAACTGTGAATACAGCCCTGCACTTTTTATAGCTAGGGAGATAAAGACAAAATAGTTGAAAGATTAGCCCTGTAGCTCTGCCAAACGAGCGTTTCGGGTTGTAAAATCCGAACAATTGTAATCGGTCCTGTTAGGATACTAATAGCAGTATCCAAAAAGTGCATCCCAAATATGAATTATGGTGTATATGTTATAAACGAGGTCATGGGAAGACAGAGGAATACCTGAAATGGATGCAAATGATTATGTATATACGGATATATTTGATGTAGCTGTAGTGCGAAGATGCGTTGGAATAGACAGTGGTTAAGTGATAATTAATTATCTGCGGGAGTATTGCTTCTCTTTATACACGTTCAACCCCCAGTCTTGATCACGCACTCATCACAGGTGCTTCCTACTCCTTTCACAGTAACCACTTCCATAGCTACTACCAATACCTCCTGACATAACATACCATTGATACTGGTTGCTAGTGTGGACCTTATGAGATTACAGATCTACATAGCATCGTCACATTGTATTCTGTTGCCCCTCGGTAGTCATCAGAGTGATCTGTACCTCATTCTAGACGCATTTGTGGATTCTGAATTCCAAGTCCGAGCGAAACGCCAAGTCTCACGGCAAGCGAGCCGCCGAGTTTGAGGTTCCATCGAGAATGCACCCTTCGCAATCTTTGGTCACAATTCGGGCGGCTAAGCACCCCACTCCTCCCCTACTGTATTCTGATAGTTTACTTGTTATGTATCATTGATCGTTACATTATCTGGAGTATAGAGGATTTCATGTATTTAAGGAGGAGTTAGAATGTTAATAAAAATACAAGTTTACACCTAGTCTCAAGCTCTACCACATATAGATTGTCGTAGTTGGAGCCACGAGACATCCGTGAATTTCACAATCAACATTTGTCATTTTATTCTTACTAACGTGCACAAGAAACCAGAGTGCAGCTGACACTATAAATACAAGCCGACGATGGAAGGTGTTGTGATCCGCCTCCTGGTGGTGTTCTCTGGTATAGTTTGAGTAGCCTGGACACCTACTCCACTTGGGAAGGAGACATCTCAGATCATATTCGCGCGGAGAAAAGTTGATGGATGACGGAGGCATGTCTGGATAACTAAGGGTTTTTGAGACATTCCCCTGGGTGGGTATTCACGGATGAGGGTTGACTTGGGGCAAGAAAAAGCCGGCATAACTTCGCAGTGGTACTTGCAAATGAAATCCGAGGCATGAGTGCTCCTCTTGTAAATTGAGTCATCTTTTCTGTAATTTTCTTCGATATTGTGTCATAGCTAGATAGCTGCATACGCAATTAAAATCTGATGCAAAAAAAAAAAAAAGTGCATAAGAAACCTCACATTGGTCTACCAGGCAACGCTCGGACGTAGGGATGTTGCCAGAGTGATTAGGTCCTCAGCTGTGCGATCAGTGCCCTAATATCACCTAGCTTCCTGCGCCAGAGTGTCCAAGTGCCGCGATAGTGGAAGCTCAATGAGACTCAGTCGGAGCTGATCCGTGGTATTCATCACAGTATTAGCAATCATGCGTGTAGGAGGGCAAGACTGAACACCTGTCAGTGGTGCTCTCTGCGAACCTGGGAGTGGAATATTCTCCCAGAGCCAAGTTCAGTCAAATATCGCATTATCGAACAAGTTGGCCGACGAGGTAATGATTCAAACTACTCCACCATGTCAATCTTTCACTCCCGATGAGTCCCATTCTCAACTAAGATTCATCAAGTCTACAAGTACGACCTAGTACATTCTCATTCCAATGACCACATCTCTCTCCGACCTTCTCTGGCCTCAGTTGACCACCAAATACACGCCCACGCCGATATTTATACCCAACGGAGGAAGCAAAGCGTGGCGCACAAATCTGGGAGACTGTTTTTGGGGATTGGCGTGAGAGGATTCAGGACAAGTTCACAAGATGATGTAGGGGATAGATACAGTCTCGACGGGCGTGGAATTTTGAACTTTGGAAAGGAGCTTTTACAAATTGAGCTCTGTGCGTGCCAAGACTTCGGTTGCGAAAGTGCAGGCGACACTATAAACATCGTCTTGGCCGGTCTGCCAAGTAGACTCTGGATAGCTTGGACACATATCCCACTTGAGACAGCAGATCGCTGGTTCAAATCCAGCAAAACACAATCATATTTCTCGCGGCGCTGGTATTCATGGACGAAGAAGGCATGCTTGGATAACTACAGGGTTTGAAATTCCCTTTGGTGGGTACTAACGGAGGAGGGTCGACTGTTTGTGTAAGCAAGCATACCTCATAGTGGTATTTGCGAATGAAATCCAGAGTTTGAGTGTCTCTAACGTCAAAAGAGTTATCCAACATGTATACATAGCACCGGTCATGTGTCATAGCTAGATAGCTGAATACACATTAAATGATTTAAAAAAAAAATCATGTGTATAAAATATTATGCCTGAGGCACATAATGGTATGTGCGTATTAGCTAGATAAACATCCACCTTATTTTTTTTAAATTATTTAATGTGTATTCAGCTATCTAGCTATGACACAATATCGAAGAAAATTACAGAAAAGATGACTCAATTTACAAGAGGAGCACTCATGCCTCGGATTTCATTTGCAAGTACCACTGCGAAGTTATGCCGGCTTTTTCTTCCCCCAAGTCAACCCTCATCCGTGAATACCCACCCAGGGGAATGTCTCAAAAACCCTTAGTTATCCAGACATGCCTCCGTCATCCATCAACTTTTCTCCGCGCGAATATGATCTGAGATGTCTCCTTCCCAAGTGGAGTAGGTGTCCAGGCTACTCAAACTATACCAGAGAACACCACCAGGAGGCGGATCACAACACCTTCCATCGTTTGATTGTATTTATGGTGTTAGCTGCACTCTCGCAAGCGAAGTCTTGGCGCACACAAAGCTGAATTCGTAAAACTCCATTCCAAAATTCGAAATTGAACGCCCGTCGAGGTTAAATACTTCCTTAGCATCAACTTTTAGGCTTGTCCTGATCCCTCTCACGTCCATCCCAAAGAGCTATCTCCCAGATTTGTGCGCCACGCTTTGCTTCCTCCGTTGGGTGTAAATATCGGCGTGGGCGTGTATTTGGTGGTCAACTGAGGCCAGAGAAGGTCGGAGAGAGATGTGGTCATTGGAATGAGAATGTACTAGGTCGTACTTGTAGACTTGATGAATCTTAGTTGAGAATGGGACTCATCGGGAGTGAAAGATTGACATGGTGGAGTAGTTTGAATCATTACCTCGTCGGCCAACTTGTTCGATAATGCGATATTTGACTGAACTTGGCTCTGGGAGAATATTCCACTCCCAGGTTCGCAGAGGACACCGCGTACAGGTGTTCAGTCTTGCCCTCCGCATTTCTCCTATGCATGCACGATTCAAGCATACTCGGATAAACAGAGGCCTTGAAACGTTCCTTTGTTAGGTACTCACGGAGGAATGACTGATTGTGTGATAGTGTAAGCAAACACACCCATGGTGGTACGCGCGCATCAAATTCCAAAGCTTTTTAAAGTCAAAAGAGCCATCCAATTTGTGCAACTAGCACTGATCATGTATCATAGCTAGATAACTGCGTAAATTTTATAATTAATTCGAAAATGACATCTCGGCACCAGAGCCGTACAAGTCGTGTCTATCCATCTTTATCTGCCCTCATAACTAAAGAGGCCAACTCCTTCGCCGTAGTTAACCTGATCCGGCCTGGCCCCACTCGTGCTTTAGTTCCAGTAGGAGTGCGACGGTATTCACTTTACCCAGCACGTTAATGAAAAAAAAAAAGAGGCCAACTTGATTCAGTCAATTATCGCCATATCGGCTCTGGGGAGTGCTGTTACGGGATCTAGAGCACAAATTCCTGCCGTTCATTGTAGGCGGCCCATGTACAATGCTGGTCTCAGGGTTCGCTTAGTCATACCCCTGTAAAAATATTTTCTTTCCACATGCTCTTCATCCGCATTGTAATTATCCTTGCGTTAGCAGTACTTAAGGAAACCAGAATAAACTCCGGAAATTTCGTTAGATCGAATAGATCACCACTTCATTCCGTGACAACGCACTGGAACCTCATCGGATGTTCTATCCGTCATGATCAAGGGAGGAGAAATTGAGTGGATGATAAGTGGGTCTTCAACTCTGCCATCTGATCTGATCGTAATTAACTTTACAATGGTGCTAGGATGTCAGGAGCCTATGGAAGTGCGGCTTTCTTTGTTAAATCATAGCACTGTTTGGAAATATTATCATCCATACAACTTTGATACATATTTTGCCAACAAGTTCCCTTTAATTGGATGTAAGCTGGTACTTTTCTATTTAGGGCAAATAATTGAATATTGTTCCTGAGTTAGCGAAAATATTTTAACATTCTTCACACACAGAAAATGTAGATTATTCAGAGTGAAAGAAGAGGACTATATCTGTGGTGAGTCGTACGCGACTAGAATCTCTTGTGTTGTCATACAGTTTTACCTTCATTATTAATTATCATACGATAGCTATGTAGATTATTAAAGCCCTTTCTGCCTGTAGTTTGAGGATAACGATGCCTCCGCCTCAGCTCCCTCGCTCCCGACACCACTACCCCAAACAAGACTTCATTCGACCAAAACGCTTGGTGGAGCTTTTCCCTCTTTTAACTCCCTTCTACATCCAAAAGAATGTAATATGCTTACTTGTAAATAACAAGAAGAGGGCTTGGAATGACTGCTAAGCATTAGGCTTCCATGGTACCGATAACAGGGCTTCATCCGGGAAGAGAGCTCCCGATTCGAAGCGTCTACTGAGCCCGGCCGACCATGTGCTGCAAATATTTGTATACACAAGATACTCACTCTCTACGTTCCTAGTTTATATTCCATGCCTTCCTCTATTGACATGTTGGGGTAAGTCGGAGGTTGAGTTGAGATGCCAGAACATGTTTGGTAGAGAGTAGGTACTGTAAAGTATTCTCACCTATATCACATGCGATATCTTTGGTAGTAGTTAATTCCGAGAACTCATTAGTAACAGAAGCGTTAATGACTGTTACTGAACTCAATATTGTCTCAATATACTCTGTGGCGAGATTTGAATCTTCGTTCCCCGCTAGGTATTATTGGCTAAAGTTACAGGCTAAATGTGAGCTGTTTTTTTGCTCTTATTGGTTGCCGTCCGTGAGGGAGGCTAAGTCCTTGGTTTGTGAGTCCATCGGGTCGTCCGACTAGAGATTTCCTGCGTATTATCCTGAAAGGCTGTCCGACTTGCTAATTAATATAACTTTGTCCTAGTCTTCTTTGAATTGAGCAGGGCCTGCCACTTTAGTCTGACAGAATAGCAAGGATCTGGTCAGAAGATTGAAATATTGACTTCCTTAATGTGTAAATATTTTAATTAGTAATTAACTATGGGGTAGCGAATTTGTATTCAAGGGTGTGATACTTGAAACCCTTGACAAGATGATCATACGCAGTAATTATGATGTGGATGTTTTTCGGATTCTAAAATTTTATCATAAGTTGAGGTATTCTTATCTAGGAGCTAGTCATTGTTTGATAACTAGGGACTGTAATTTGCAGGAGTGGGGAAATTTCATTTCTACAATTGATTGGCTGTGTAGGCGAGAAAGACTGAGGAAATCAAGGCATAATGCTGCTGATTATTAGAGAGTCCTGTTACAAAATTCTGTTGTTAGAGATTTAAGTATTCTCTAGCAGTTATCCGCTGTCAGAATCGAACTCAGATCTAATATGCAATTATTAGTTTAATATTTATTTAAAACTAGTTTATTTGAGATGTGTGGGAGCATGAGCAACACCTTAGCATAATCCGTGCTTAGTTTAGAAATGTTGTTGTAAAGTGACAGAAGGTGCTGGAATCATGGCCCGGCCCTCAATTTTTCAGCCCGAGGTGCCGCATTAAAAGCTGATCAAGTGCTAGCCCATCTTTCCTTATCCACACAACACAGACGACCCCAACGCTAGTCTCATTTACGATACAGTCACAATTATTTTATTGAAAGGTTTTCAAGGAAATTAAATTCTCATCAGAATAACCCTGATCCCAAAAATCCATGTAAGTTTACTCACACATTTCATCGCCTAGTTATCCGTCCATTTATCAACCTAAACGCATAACACTCGGCTGAAAATTAAACTTATTTCATTGTACAATTCCGCATCTTTCGCTAACTATATGGCACTACAGTCAAACTTTAACTTATTTTGAAACCCATCTCACCTCCGAAAAGTATTACAATCACAGGAATCGAGAATACCACAGCGGCACTGGAATCCGTGGTAGCAATTAGAATCCAGTCAAAATCTCCACGATGGTAAAAGATACCAAACTATATGATACTCTGGGTGTAAGATATCAGCATCCAACCCTAGTCTCTCGTTACTTAGGACTATTAGATTTCCCCGACCTGTACTGAAGCCGAGTTAAAAAAAGCATACAAAATCGGAGCACTTAAACACCATCCTGGTATCTTATGCATGCTATTTAAATTAGTACAAGTGCTAACAGACAATGTAGATAAAAACGCCTCAAATCCAGCCGCCGCAGAAAAATTTAAAGAAATATCGCACGCATATGAAGTACTATCTGACCCTCAAAAAAGACACATATACGACCAATATGGCGAAGAGGGCCTTGAGGGAGGTGGTGGTGCTGCGGGAGGGATGAACGCAGAAGATTTATTCTCTCAATTCTTCAGCGGTGGCTCTGCCTTCGGAGGTGGAGGATTGGGTGGCATGTTCGGGGGAGGGCCACAGCAACGTGGCCCCCCAAAAGCCCGCACCATTCATCACGTTCACAAGGTATCTCTAGAAGATATCTACCGCGGTAAAATCTCTAAACTGGCACTACAAAAGTCAGTCATATGCCACAAGTGTGAGGGACGGGGTGGCAAAGATGGTGCAGTAAAAAAATGTGCCGGCTGTGATGGACATGGAATGAAAACAATGATGCGTCAAATGGGTCCTATGATTCAGCGGTTTCAAACTCACTGCCCCGACTGCAATGGTGAGGGAGAAGTCATCCGAGAGAAAGATAAATGTAAGACGTGTAACGGTAAAAAGACCAACGTGGAACGCAAAGTACTCCACGTTCATGTGGACAGAGGTGTTCGATCGGGGCACCGGATTGAATTTAAAGGTGAAGGAGACCAAACCCCCGGAGTTCAACCTGGTGATGTTATCTTTGAAATTGAGCAGAAACCACATCCAAGATTCCAACGAAAAGACGATGACCTTATTTACCACGCAGAGATCGACCTTGTTACTGCCTTAGCGGGCGGGTCAATCTTCATTGAGCACTTAGACGAAAGATGGCTGAGTGTGGAGATACTTCCTGGAGAGGTTATCTCACCTGGTGAGCAAGCTCTCTCATCATATTTTCTAGATTGACTAATGATATCAGGATCCGTTAAGATGATACGCGGTCAGGGTATGCCATCCCATCGTCACCACGACTATGGAAATATGTTTGTACAGTTTGATGTCAAATTCCCCGAAAGTAACTTTGCTGCAAATTCCGAGGCATACGCAGCTCTGAAGAGTATTATTCCGCCGACTGTGGTACCTATCACTCCACCCACTGATACCATGACTGAAACTGTATACTTCGAAGACATTGACCCTACTCAACAAGCTCGTGCACAGGGTGCGACAGCAATGGATGAAGACGATGAAGATGGCCATCCAGCCGGCGCCGAACGGGTTCAATGTGCGTCACAGTAAAGTGGGGAAAATGAATGACAAATGCTCCATTGCTTTAATATATTTGGATTGTGACTGAATATGTAAGCTTGGAGCAACAGTCAGACTAACCGACATTTTATTGAACTTTAAATGTTTTCACAATGGATTAACAGGACAAGGGCCTAAGTCTCACAAGCTTGACTATCCCTCCTAAGTTGAAAACAATTTATATCCAATTTAAACCCTAAATAAAGCATATCAGGGTGGTTAACACTTTCTGGCGTCTAACAAATTTGATGGAGAGCATACATGGTCACTCTAGCTGTAAATCATGTACATCTATCTTTCACAAGATATCGCATTAGCATCGGTAGGTTGGGTTTGAGGGCTATAATGAGGTGTCGAAGTCATTGTTAATGATCTCACTATAATGCTCTGAAGAATCGTGATACTAGAACCTCTTTGCACGTATGAGAAATGATAAATTTCATACAGGATTGTTTCAAAAGCTCAGTCTATTGATGTAAATATGTCTATTGCTGAAGAATGTTTTCCGCGACCAAATTCAATAACACTATTTACACATCGTTCTGAAAATCGGGCATATGAAAGTGTGCTATCGACCCATCATTTACAGGATTGGAAAATGACAAACTACCCTACAAGAAACCTGTCATGCACAACACAATTTAAAGCTAAATTTTATACTTTTGTGTAGATCACATCCTGCACGAATCACTCAAACCTCAGATAAAGGTGAGCTTTAGGTACGTAATGGCTACTTGTCTACGTTGAAAAGCTATAGGCATATTCAGGTGTCCCTCATATGGTTGTTGTCTCAGTGAGCCTATTTTTATGCGTTGAAATATACGTTCTCCGTGCCTGGACGGGAGAAACTATGCATCAGATAGTAGTAGAACCTCCTACTTAATTCACGACTTCTTTTTAACGTTTTTATCCCAACAAGAGGTTGGATGTTGCAGCGGTACACCATTCAGGCCGTCCTCCCAAGTAGAGACTGGGTAGCATGAACAACTACCACACTTGAGACAGGAGAAAGCTGGTTTGAATTCAGTAAAACCCACACACTGCTCTATCTCACGGTGATACTGTACTATCGGGATGATGAAAGCACATTCGGATAACCATTGGAGTTTCACGCTTTTCCCTGTGACAGGTATGCACGGAAGAGGTTACACGCGGCAAGGGTTAACCTCGAGTGGTATCTGCAAATGAAATTTGAGTGTGAGTGTTCAAATCGTCAAATTGAGTCATCCTAATTAAAGTACATATCCTCCGATAAAACCAGCATGGGCCTCAAGGCGCCAAATCAGGATATTGAATAATTTATTTAAATATACCCCAACAAGTCTTCATCTGAGCACACTTAGAGAAACCATTATCTACTCTCAATTTACTCTCATCAACCAACAAAAAGAAGGTCATCAACATGTGTTCAGCGGCAGATAAAAGTTTTAGAAACCAATGAATACGTGGTTCTCATACAACTAACAATAGAACTTACTCCAAAGGTATGACTTTCCTTATGAGGTGTTCGAAGGGGCCGGTCATATGGGAGATGTAGACCTTTACATGTTTTAAACCGTCTCTTTCACATCCTAACTTTATCCATTAATTCGTGCGGCTGGAGAAACCAAAGAATGTGAAAGTTTGCTAGAAAAGTCTTGTCGAGAAAGTAAGCTTGAAGTGAGCTAGTCTAGCATGCAAGAGTCGTCATGGACGTGGTGTTATCGATTCGAACGTGTAATTTAGATACCTTTCTCACTGGTAAATTGGAATCTGGACTAGAGACAGTTTTGTTGACGAGTCGAAATCTAATTTTCCCAAGACCACATGGATCTTTTACTGTGCTTTCGTGGAGCTTTATTTATCCGCCGCTGGGTAGCGAGTGCTAGCGAACAACGAGTGCTTCTGTAACTGCGAGTGCAGCGTCTGACATCGCATTATCTCACCTCCTTGCCAGCTTCATCTGTTGAAATCGGTACTATTTGTCGATGAAGGCTATTGTTTAGATGTAACATCGAAAGGTTTATCCCTTGACTAGCAAGGTTCAGAGTATCCATACATTGGCCAGCCAAGAATTGTTTCCTTCGCTTGGTTTATTTGCACGTGACTTGGGTTATGAGTACAGCTGTCTAGCAATGAAACAATATCAGACAAATAATACATTAAAGATGACTCATTTTAAAGGTAGAGCACTCATGCCTCAAATTTACTTTGCAGGTACCACTGCGAGGTTATGGCGACTTTTCTTCACCTCAAGGCAACCTCATCCGTGAATAGGGGGACTATTCTCAACACCTGTCAGTGGTGTCCCCTACGAACCTCTAGCTCTCACTGAAGAGCCTGCAGAGCCGAGATTGAGTAACAAAGTCCTCACTTCGACGAGGATTCCCAATCGCTTTCGCCGTCTGTATCGTCTTCATCTCTCAACACATCAACACATCCTCCTATCACCATTATCATGAAGCTAACCACGATCAGAATAGATGGTAGGTTCATAGCCCTACTCATCAGCAACCATTTATCATGGAAGAGAAGCCAACCGATCAGTTTCCGTGGCGTACCCGGCACCCAATATGGAGATGGTGGATTGGATCAAGTCGACCTCGACTGTTACAAAGAAGGGAGGTAAATATGAATATGCGCACCTCATGTGGTCCTGATGTCTAGGCCTCGCCTGGCTGGGGCTGCAGGTTTTTTGAGACTTTTTCCCGCGCACGCAGTTTCCATTGCTACCATTTTTATTTTTTTTGGGTAGAAGGTTCCGTGGAAAAGGTGGCTGAATTCCACGGGTAAATATTGAGCTGAATGGCCATTCATCAAGGGGAATATATCAATGATCTTTCAAGTAACAAAAGAGGATAGGAGCACTGTACAAGGTGTGGCCTGGGTCAGAGAGGAGCCCAATGTGCTAGATAGTCATAGACTCAAGAAGTACAATAAAAACACACACACCACATCATCCGTGAATACCCACCCAGCGAAAAGTCTCAAAAACCCAGAATTGTCTAGGTATGCCTCCATCGATTTACATATATCAGCACGAGTGTGATCTGAGGCACCTCCTTCCCAAGTGAAATAGCTGGTCAGGCTATTAAAACTATACTGGAGAGCACCACCAGGAGGCGAACAACGGCGCCATCCACCGTTGGATTTTTCTCATCAATCAAGGTGTTTTCGGATATCTAACTACGACACATGATTAGTGCCATATACGGTAAGACCCCTGTTAAGCCGATCATGGTTAAGCTGATATTGCCGTTTATACGATATATTTTTCGGAACGTACTTCGTTCCCATGCATTTACCGATTACAAGATTATCGTTCTTCAACCTCTGTATATCGTCTTAACCAGGGATTTTTTGCTTGATTGGTGCAAAAAATGCCGCCAAAAAAGGGAATTTCTGTGGAGCAACGATATTCTCTGTATGACGATATTTTTCACGGCCCCGATTACATCGTCTTAACAGGGGTTTGACTGTAGTTGATAAACTATACATGGGCTTGCATGAAGACTAAACCAATCTAATTGATATGCACAGGGATCTAACCCCAGACATTTTGACAGTTATACTTTTGCCATCCTTAAGAGACTGTACATAAACTACCCGACGTGCCAGCGCTTTTTACCAAGCCCGACATGTAATACTTGAGCCAAGCCATCAAGCCGTGCGCCTCAATCTACTAAAGAAGGTAAAATTTGCTCTTCCACGAAGTATATTAATTTCAGAAAGTTACAGAATGAGTGAGTGAGTGAGTGAGTGGTTGTTTATTGTCCTAAAAAGTCTATAAATATGTAAGGACATGTAGGTCCTTTCTGCCTACAGGCCGGGAGTATCTATGTTTCGGGTAGTGTATTCCCTCCCGAAAGTTACAGAAGATATATGACAGTTTACAGAAAAATTTTTTGTCACCTACGACAATTGCCTAGTAATAGCCTGCAGGTATTAATCAAATAGACTACATGTCAGTGTCGAAATTCAATTTTTTCGAAGAAGCTGGTGTAATTAAGCCATTTACTAATGACAATAACCACTTCAGGAGAGGGTGGAAGTTCGATAGTCTTCAGGTCCCGAGATACTGTTACATGCGTTAGTGTGACATTAATGGAATCTGTAGTGAGTTATAAAATTCTTACACTCTCTGCTGCCAGATCTCTCTTTCCCTCAGGCGCGAGTCGAACGCGCGACATTCCGGTATACACTTCGATTACAGCCGGACGCCATAAACCAGCTAGACGACCGAGGGAGTTGTTTATGTCAGCTCAAACGACACTATATATCTAGTAAGTGTATTAATATTTTTTCCCTCCCTGAGTCATGTCCTTGTGTGGAAGCTGTACAAGGTTTTATAGTTGGGTATTAGGACTTGCGGCAGAAAATTTGTACGGAATGCGATAGCTGGGAGACTCCAAAAGCACAGATTGTAGGGCCGCCCATTTAATACTCACCTAGGATGAGCCAAAGAAATCGAGCTATCAGTCATCGCAATTTATTTCAGATTTATTATTGCATCTTCAATGAGAAAACTTAGTAATCCCTGTAAAGAGTTCAAATTTACTGGGAAAACTTTCAGCCCTTGCTGTAGGAGAACGAAGGCAGAACAACTGCCAGTAGTATCTTCGAACCCGGGAGCGAAATATTTTTCTAGAGCCGAGATTCAGTCATGAAAAAGAGTGAGATGAATTTTATTTGATTGATTTTCGACTTGATGGGGTTTCGCTCGATATTTTAGTCGAGAGGTCAGTCGGCAGATATTTCACAGCCGCAACAAAGTCGAACAAAAACTCACCATCACTAACATACGATTCACGAATAGACCTAGGTTAATCATCAATTCTGTACTTTTCTTTGATATTGTGTCATAGCTAAATAGCTGAATACGCAATTAAAATCTGATGCAAAAAAAAAAGAATAGACCCAGGTCTATCTGGGGCTCGTATTCAAACATCCCACGTCCCTCAAACTCCTTATGTGCTTGTGATAAAGCATTTCTCATTCGATCCTACACCTGC